AAGGGGTGGGTTGAAGGCGTAGGCGAAAAACCTTACAGCGTAAATGGCCAATTCTGAAGGAGGATAAGCAGAATGTGACTTTTTACAAGGGGGGGGGGGGGGGGGGTCCAGGACATTTTCAAACTACTCAGATCAAGTGATAAAGTTTACCAAGATGAGCATGGAAATTATTTGCTTGTTGGGCTTATTTAAATGTTAACATTATAAATTACATTCTAGGGAAAAAAACAAAGCCTCAAAGCATATTAAGATTCAGAATGTAAGAATAGAGAAAATAGATGCGAACAGTGAAAGCCTTCGAAAAATTACGAATTAAAGTTGTATGAATCGATTAGAAAATCAAGATCAACTGACCCAGAATATGTTTTACATCCCTAGGCTCGACCAAGACAGAGCCTCGATGACTCGCAATTTTGACTGATTTTTTTGCGACCCTTTCAAGAAACTCCTCGGCCACAGCTCTGAGCACTTCCTCGGACTCTTCATCTAGTTGTAGGTAAGGATCAACTTCTTTCATAATCTCCTGCAAAGATTTGCTCTTAAAAGCCGGGATTTGCGGCTGTTGTGACTGGTGAATTTGCTGTTGTGGAGATTCATGTCTAGATGGTTGTGAAGACAAGACTGTAGAAGATGAAGCAGCGAGGCTAGTAACTGATTGAATAACCGGAGTTGATGAGACGGAAACAACTGGAGTCGCTGTAGTTAAGATAGTACTTGCGGGTTTAGAGACGTTTTCCATAGCAACAGTAACAGCCGATCCGCTGGGGAAATTTAGGACAGTAGTAATAGAGACGGGAGCATTTCCAGCAAGAGCGGATGAGGGCACCATGATTGATCCGCTGGGAGCAGCAGCGAAAACGATCGGATTGGCGGGATTCGAGACAACTGGAATTTGGTTTGGTAAAGTGACGATCACAGATGGTCTTTGACTTGGAACTAGGGTTGGTGTTTGTGGTGGGGTCGAAATCTGCGAAAGAGTTTGCTGGGAAGGGGTGGGACTATCAGTGCTGGTAGTAGCAATTAATGGTAAATCTGAAACCGATGAAACGGGTGCCGCTACGGAAGAAGTTACCGCAGCAACGCCCACGTTATTCTGTTGTGAAGGTGAAGAGCTACTAGGTTCACTGATCCCGTTCATATTGGTGGGAAAATAAACCCGAAGCCCACAATGCTAAAAGGAAGAAAGCTTGCATGGAGGGCAGAAATAAGGCACTCACTCCAAGAGTAAATCCATACTGCCATGAATTGTTATTTACCACAGCTACCCTTATTTATGCATATGTGTAATAAGCATGCTTTATGGATATTTTTTTTAAAAACAGGACAATTCATAAATAAATAATAGTCAGCAATATTTTCTAAGCATATAATAGTGCCCGTACCATCCCATTATTAAATTGGAAGTATAAATAAAAGAAATTAAAATTTAGGGGATTTTGAAATTATTAGAGACAATAACATAGCGATTTTGAGTACAGACACAGTCACACCAGCGAGAGCAAAGATTTATACAAACGCGTATATGAATAATGTAAAACAGGTCAAATAGGTGATTATACCAAAAAAGCCCAAACGTTCTAATATATGATTCCGCATTTTTAATCATAATTTTTTGAAATAATTTAATTATAACTATATTTTTTAACTTTATAAAATAGAATATCAAATATTTTTTCTAGGCTCAGGAGTCTTAAATATTGTAACATCATATATTTAAATTAGTGTTCAGGATTTTAATATATTTATATTAAATATTTAAAGTAAAGGTCGTTATATAGCAGGCAAATGGTCATCTATTCCGCTGTTAAACGTTAGCGCTCTAAATTACATTCCTAAGTAAGATAAGTGCCTATTTGTTCAACAAAGGTTCACACATATATGGAACAATTCTCTTTCACTTTAAATAATAATGGTACTCTTTTTAATATTTCACTAGCATTCTTATTTATTTAAAGTTAGGACTACATTCTTCTCCATGAGCTTTTCTTCCAATTCGATAATTTAAGACGTTTCATACCATTGGAGTGTAAATCATTAAGATGTAATTACTTGAACACATTTGTTCTCTTCCGAATTATATTTAAAGTTTCAATTCTCCAAAAATATAAAAGCATTGTGTTTTTTGGTCAATTTTGCAAAAGGTTCTATTTAGTGACGAACCAATCTTCAAAATTTTGTGTCCTACAATTTACTTCAAACCTCACCAGTGTATATCTCCTACTTCAATCATTTTTTTGGAGAATTAATTGTGTACCTTGTACATCTTTCACAATCATCTAGTCTTAATTGGTTTCACCATAATACATATATAATATAGTCCCGCCAATCAAAAAAACTCGCATGAACCCCTCTAATGAAAATGGTGGATGGGAGTTTAACCAAAATTATTCACTCAAACGATATCTTTGTGAATTATGGAATTCTAAAAATTTAGGGTTTCTTATTGTCCCCCGAAATACAAAAATTCGGGGCTATATCAGAGATGGCTGACGATTTCATACGTGCCTAATATTGAATTGTTTGTATTTCAAATTTAAAATCAATGGCACACCGTTTCTCCTAAACGAATTTGATTCTATCACTATTACCTATGCTATAAATAGTGGGATTCTCTGGAAAGACCAAAATGCTTATGTTTGCTATGGATCTTTTAAGCTTCAGACAACTGGTTACAAATAACAAATATAATAATACAAATAATAAAATAATTTGCGTGTTTATATCTTGCTTTGCAGCTATTTTCCGAGTGGAGGTGATCGATCATGAATAACTTGAAAAATTTTATCCTTTAGAAGCTCATATACTTTCACTCCATTATCAGAAGAACTCAACTGATTAATGCACATTCACATTTGAAACAAAAATTTAAGGCTTCCTGATATTTCATCAAAGTAATTTTATTATTGCAATAACATACGAACGAAGTCTACGCTCTTACCAAACTTCCTCGTCATTTTTGAAGTAGCAAGTGGTCTGTAAAGTGAACAGAAGTTCTAATACGGGAAACAGTAGAACAGATAGTGGCATATAGATATTTAGTTGTGAAAAACATTTTCTAAGATGGTTGCGCACCCTACCATCTACTCTAATCCGATCTTGCAAGTTCTTGCATTTTGTTACGATATTACATCTTCTTGACAACAATCCTTTCCCAATGTTTCTGAACCTGTCTACTATTTCTGTCCTCGCGTCCTGATAGATTTCTATTCAAACTACCAATGACGTAAAATTATAATTCACAAGATATTTGAAATTACTGCCATGGGGGAAGTGGTCTTATCCAGAAATTTAGATTCTATCCGATTTGAGAAATTTTAGCACTGTATAGTCAATCCTTAATTTACTCCCCAACAACAGATTAACATACAAAGTAACACGCTATGTAAGCACTATGATCAGTAATATTTTGAAGCCACGAGAGTAAGGATTAGCGAAGGAGATGTGAGGCTAATCAATTTTAAAGAACTTGACAGCGCCCCATTCACCTTACTCTAATTTTAGGCATTTAGGAGCCTTTCGTTTGGTGAGCAATAAGAATTTTTTTAGCACTGCTATACGATTAGTCGAATGCAAACATTAGTACAAGCAACCAAATGTAGTCAATATATATATTATGAAGAATTTTCCGAATTGTAGATAAAGTAAAATATTGGTTTAAAATAATTAATTATTATTTCCTCGCTTTGACAACGAGTCATAAATTTTCTATTTCTGAAAAAAGTTTCCAGTTATAAAATGCATATAAGTCCAAAGTCTTCACTACAATCGTTTGTAAACGAATGCTTTAAACTAGAAAACAATAAAATAGTGGCTGCAATCTGATGCAAACTCCAAAGACCTCTTCAAATTATTCAGTGCTAATTTCTTTAAAAGATAGAGCTAAACTCAATCTTTCCTAGACTCATTCCAACACTTTGGATACCGATTGGTACCTTCTTTAAAAAGAGTTATCTTTGGTTAATGTTATAAAATAAAAGAATTAAAATGATCTCAAAATGGAATCGAGCAGGGATAAGGGTTATTATGCACCGAAAGAGAGATGGATTTTAAGTGGTATTTACTAATTCTACCAAACATTTCCGGACTTCCTTTGTCCTATATTTAAAAAGAGAAATTATCTCATCTTTTTGACTAAGAATATTACTTATAAAGCAACAATATTAAAATAATTAGGGCACATAGTCAGATTGGTACAATTATTCTAAATTATAAGCTAGTACTTTGGAAATAATTATATGATAAATGTAATCTTCAATCATATCAAATGGAAAAATTTGAATCGTCAAATGAACTTATTATATGCAAATTTAGACGGAAAGCGATTTGAGTAAATGCCGATTTAATCAAAAAATATTCGTCAATGAAAATGGGCCCTCGTTATTAAAGATTCTTATTAGTCCCACTAGAGAAGGTCGCGCTCGATATTGAATAATTCAGAGCCTTAATTATCATACTCCGTAAGTACACCTTTATCCCCTGTTTTAGTTATTTAATGAACTATGCTTTAATTTATTCTTAAATTAATGTCTTTTTGCTTCTGTAGTCCAGTTTACATTTTTATGTCGTGGATTTTTGTGTTTACTTATTATGGTTGATTATTGAATCCAGTTGAACAAAAGATTTATATCCAACTTTTCTTGTTTCAGAGTCAAGCTCTATGGAAACTCGTAACCCATCTCCGCCTCCGGATTTTGACTCGACCACCGAGGAAGATGATCATATTGGCAATAGTGCCTACAGCAAACGTTGGCTTTATTCACTCATCCTCCAAGTTCTCACTAACTTAAGCCAAATTGGTGAAAGTATTGATGATGTTGAAGAAGAACTAGACTCAATCCTTGAGGATGACCTCTGCAAACTTTGGGACATAACAAGTGACCAATTGCTTTTAGAGCATCTTCGACCTTTCCAACTTGTTCCAGTTTTTACCGAGTGTATTCACAAGAGCAAAAACCCTAGGCTAATAGTAATTTGCATCAAAGTAATTAAATTTTCGATTTTAGGAAATTTCACTAGGGATTTTAGCAAATGTATCCCTTGATGACGAACAATGTGGAGTACTTTCGGAAGATCCAACGTTCATGTTTGTTTTGACTTAAATTAATTCATTTATTAGGTCAAACTCCTTGGGATTATTGTCTACGGATGATACTCGAATACTCATTGAGTTATTTAGGTAATATTTTTTCTGTATTTTGTACCTAATTTCCCACCAGACTCTTGCGTTCCGTTTTGGCCTCAAGATCTCATCGCCAGATCTGGCTAGATGCCGTCCATTTTGCTCCGGAATTCATTGAAAGAGTTAATTTTATTTTAGTCAGTTCAACTAATGGTTAGCGAGTTTATTTTCTTCAATCGATTTATTTTAGCTCACCTACTAATGAGTACAATTAACGCATTAGAGACTATTCTACGAATCGATGATAGTATCGGAGAATTATGGTGCAATACAAACCTTCTTGGTTCCTTGCAAGATGCTCAACGTCAAATGTGGTGGGTTGCTTCACTGTTATTGTCTAAATCAATAGTTGGATTCAAGGTGATGAGGTGGAGGTCATCTATCGGATTATCTACATATTCTCTACCAATTCTACTGGAGTGCGAACTTTGAGTTAGTGTTTATTAAAGCTTTGTTTAACGTGTATTGTTATTATTACTATTAATACTTGAATTATCTCGCATTGTTCCACAAATAGTGTCAAGTGTAGAGGATGTGTTTCCAAATTTTGGAGTCCTGTTACGGAAGATCTGCGAAGACGAACCGCATTTAATCCCCTTTTATCAGTATAATTCTGCCCTGCGGCTAATTTTGCCCGTTATTGATGTGATTATTACAAACCTACCGGCTAAACAGGCTCTTGCTTCATTCCACTTTGGTGAGTTTTATGCATTTTTTTTCAAAATTTAAATTTGCAATTGAGTGCCTCTAAATTTTGTTATACATGGCAGGATTTCACTTTTTAGCTAATGAATTCACCTGGCAAGATCGAATGCACCGTTAACATTTTTTATATTTAATAGAACATAAGTTAATGAATACTTAAGAGAACATAGTATCTGCGTATTCATAATCACACATACGTTGATCACCAAATATGGAGAAAATTTCGTTTGCAATCCATCATGTGGCAGGTTATAAAATTTACGCGATAGCCACATAGTAATTTCATATATTTGTTGCTTATGCTAAAAAAATAGGAGAAATTGTATTTAATGCTACAGTAATGTAAACAAATGCCACGTGTTTTCGTTGCGACGGAGCAACTGAAAGCGGCGTATACTTAGTCTAATAAGAGGTACCAGGAAGGTGATGGAAAGACGTTGAGGGTAAAACGTAGATATCGGAGAGAGTCTTAGAGCATTCAATATCTTCTGTTCGGATTGTGCAACATTTCCTAAATGAGCAGTTCATGCTTCATACTGCCAATGATTGGATCAGATTGATTTCGGATTACAGTTATTCAGTATCACCCGATTTGACATACTGGTCGTTCTTGCTCATGATTCCTCTTGTTAGGTACTGGGTGTTCACAGTAGCTTACGCTCAATTAATTAACATTAGCGATTGAAAATGCAGATTTTCGTTAATGTTTGTAAAATTTGCTATAAATATCATTTACGGAGTTCACGCCGATGATAACAAAGCAATACTTAGCGAATATATAGTTTAACGATGAGGTAGTATGCATGTCTCTAATGCCCAACATCACTTGTTCAACTCTTATTGGCTCACGCAACAATTGGAGAAGGTTCAAACTGCCTTCCCCATAAACAAGATAAGTGAGTACGATCTCAGGTAATGCGTCACGGGTTCGTAGTCTATTAGTGCATCCCCAGTGAGCGTAATTATCAACCGTGGTATTTAAGTCTGGTTAATGGGGAGATGGTATGATTAGTGTCTCTGAACAGCAAACTTCCAAGATAGTACCTCTCCACTCAAGATGAGTGTTTGGAAAGGCCTTTCTTTGTTTGTTTAATTTAGGCAAAATGAAATAATTGTTATCTGCAAGTTCTGTTTTTCTTTTGCAGACAAGGACATCCTACCGTGTCTGCTACAAATAGTTCTCGGATGTGTTCAGCAAAACTTTGTCTCTGGTGAAGTGACTCTAGATGGTATCTGGGAGGATTTATCGGGTCTCTTCAGCGGCCTCATTCAACGTGTTCATGAACACCTCCAAGTGAGTTCATCATCCTCCCCTTGTACTTAATTCGCACTCAGTAGTAATGCTATTTTCTTTAGAAATGTATGACAAGTGAATTAGCGCAAGACTCCATTGATGTGCTCCACTATTTAACTGACATTGATCAGGGAAGTGATGAAATGTGTAACTCGTTTGTTCGGTGCTGCTTGTATCGTCGTGTTCAAGTATCAATTGAAAGGGAAGGTGTTTCTTATAACTCAAATAGCAATACGGCTGTGGAAGTACTGCGCGGTCAATTGGTTTTCGTATGTCAACAACTACACCTTTCCAAACTTCTTGAATGCTCAACTACGGATCACAGATAAATAAACAAATTTTATATAAACTGCCCATTAATTTATAGATGTATATACTTGTGTGTTCTATCTGTGTGATAAAAGAAATAATTATTGTGAATAGACTTTAATCTTGTAACCGTGTGAAATAAATTGTTTTTTTCTTTTATCCTTTTCTGAAGTGTACAGTTTCTGTAAAAAATGCCAACTGACCACTTACTTGCAACAAGTTTAATCCCAGTAAGCCTATTACTTCAACTTTATTGTTAGTTACTCCATAAGATAACAAGTAATTAATCGATGAACAGTTACATTTTGAATTTGGATCAGTAGAGAAATGATTGGCAGATGTGGTGAAATTACATCCCCAATCAACCAAGTGGGCGATAATCAAATCTTCGAGGTATAATAACTTAGAGCTTAGCTAAGGTGCGCCAAAATATCACATTCTTTTGACAAAACGCTGAAAGCGCAAAATATCTCCCCAGATTTCTGCATTCTAGCTAGTCAAAATTAAACTTACCAATAACGTTTATACAAAATATTATTATTTCAATATATGAAGTGTATTAGTGCTGATCAAAGGAATTTCAAGCAGATTCGAACGGTCTGGAAGGTGCGGCCGCGCTCCTGATTGCATTGGGAGCAGGTAAGATTGTGAATGCACAGATCCCTCGGCCAACCATCCAATCAGCAATCGCCACAACTTGGTGTAGCAAAAATCATATTTAGCGACTAAGCTTTGTATACGCTCTTCATTCTGTTTGTAAAGCATTCCCACTCCCTTGAAAGCTGTCTAACTAATTCCGATAGTAAGTTTATACTAGGCGATTTTGTCAGGGTGGATATTTTAAGTTTGGTCAAGGCTTACTTGTGTAGTATCCCCTAAAAGTGCTGTCAGACTACCAATGGTGCGGTGCCGGATTACATGGTGTGAGCGAACTCGTCTGCTGAATGTCTAGGAGTAGATTTCTTATCTAAAACTGCCTAGGTTTTCGTGTTAAGAAACGCTTCTTTCGGGAGAGACTGCGAATGTTTCAATGTGTTAATACAGATAGTGAGTTAATAGATTCTGGCCTCGTTTATTTACTTCCTGCTTTTGGGATATTGAAGTTTTCAGCTTGCCTTTTCCCGTCACATAAAAGCCAACACTGAACATTCCACCTATATAACTTCTGCAAAAAGTCTCCATACTGCAGCAAGTAAAATAGTTCGTTAGGTTCCAAATAAAGTAAAGCTGAATAGTTTCTAGCTTTGGGTTAAAAAATAAAGCCAATTAACCTGAGCTTCGTAGAAGAAATCCAAACTTGGAACCCTCTTTCAAAGCACAGCTTAAAGACGAAAAATAAACTCCAGACGCAGGTTGCCCTATACGAGACTATTTCGTCAAAACTCAAATGATTTTGAAGCTGAAACCCCTTTCGGAGCACTGTTGGACCACGCTTTCACCTAGGAGCAAAATATGGAGGGGCATTTAGTCTATCTTACATAGAGCGGAGGTAGGTATAAACTTTTAACAACTGACTGCTGAAGTTGGTAATGCTTATTCTGTCATGGTAGGTGCGTTCCTGAGGGAATACTACACAAAACAAACCTCAAACATACTATATTTCCAAATATATAAGATAAATATTTTCAATCCTGCAAAGCCCTTTCCTGAGGTTATGCAATCGATTACACGTCGAATATCATTTGACGGCGGAAATTGAATTCTGACTGATGTCGATTGACTTTCTAGTGAATTGATAGACAACAAAAACGTGGTTAGCCTTTAAACTGTGCCATCAATAGTCACGACCCTGCCTCCTAGATGTGTGAATAAAGTTTGCCTTGTCAAGATTTACACCTTTAGCTAATTTCAAATAACGCGTGAATATTCAAAATGCGCCTAGATATGAGCGCACTGTGAAGTTCAAAGTCAAATGGTGACAGATTAGTGTTCAGGTCAATGCAAAAGACCGCCGATATTTGCGAAACCGAGATCAAAGCCATAGGAAGTGACTTTTCAACCAACCAGTAAATGACTGACAAATCTGAGACGTCTCCAAAGCCACCAACCTGAGTTGTTTACACAGATGGTCATTAATTTTTAGACCGATTTAATTACTATTTGAGTTTTTTTCATCAAATCTCTGTCAAAGAATACCTATTTTGTATTTGAAAATACTACAGCTATGCAAACAGAGGCAATTGCTATAAAATAAAGCTATTATATTCACACCAGAAGCGCACACCACCTATTTCACCTCAGGAGCTTTTATTGGCATGAAAGTGCTTCGCAAACGACCTCGCAACAAGAAGGGGGAAAATGAGTGATGCATCACCATGAATTTTGACAGGTTCAGAAGTGTGTCGCAGCTTCCCCCACGAAACAGCTTCATCTGGCCTCGCACCTGCGTCCGATCCGTCGTATTCACTGGCCGTGTTAATATACACCGCATAATCAGCTCCATTCCGCATAAGATTGGCATTTAGCGTATGGTGCTTAATGATACCTCCTCCTAGTACAACTACCGCAGTGGCATGAGAGTAGATTGCTATGTTGTTAATGCGTCGAACGTCTTCCACAACGTCTACTCGCAGACCTGGCGGAGAACGGTAAGTATGAGCAAAAAGGACATCTCCAAGAGCACCGTCAGTTATGCCAGGACAGAAGACTGGAATACCGTTCTGAAATTGAGGTCGTTGATAATGGAACTTATTAGCAACGGATCATCATGACCTCTACTAAAAATAGTTTTTTTATTTTATCTGACATTTACATAGCACAAAAATATCTATGTCTGTGTGTCATTTCGACCTATCGCATGCTTTTTCAATTAAACATCGATGACGAAACAGTGGTTTGGAAACGAATTCAAAGTTTCTCGGTATACACTCAGCTACAAAAGCGATTCAATGCCTCCCATTTTCAGGAAAAAGTACTAAACGTTCCCCAAACTTGCTTAAAAGTAGTTCTTCCACTTCTGCCTAGAAAGTAGATGGAAACAAAGGATCGTTGAGCCTTCCAGACGAGAAATAAGAATTAAAAAACCCATTGTTATCCAGACACAGACAAGGAGTTTGGTCGTTTCCTTCATATCTGACTTCGCAAGTGAGCGGATTAACTATCGACAAAAATAAACGAATAGGGACTATTAGGTAAGAATGCAAGTCAGTAGAGTGAAAGTAGCTTCAAAATCCTTGTTGAAGAATCCAGAGTAAACATCATTATAACCACAGGAAATTTGCAATATTTAGGCTATTATTCGAACTTTAATAAGTTACCTACCAATAACGTTGGGTTAAGTTTACTTGAAGACGCAATGACAATACTTTGAAACTATCCACGTAAAGCTGGTCTATCTCTAAGCAGAAATCAAACGAATGTCTCAAATACCCATCCTTCGCTACTCACACAAAAGTGAAGTATAAAAAGAGGGGTAAAATACCTTGTGACACCAATAGTAGATTGAATCTTGGTTGTCAATCTCCTTCCCTAGACGATCAATGACCCTTGATGGCGTCCAATTAACATTCTAAAATAAGATTATTAAGAAATTTATAACAGAAATGAAACCAATTTTCATAGAGATTAGGAATATAGGACTTGCATCCTTGTTCTGCTCCTCGAGCATTTGATCAAAGATGGGATTTAGCCACGCCTCAAGCTTGACGTAGTTATCATTTGGTACGAGAAGATTGCCAGTTCGGTTGATGGATAGTTGACGAAGTTGCGCACCGGTCCAACGTGAGAAATCGCCAATGTAGAAGGGGGCCATGCACTTTACAAAATCCTCCTCAACGCCACCAGCGGAGGTAACCAATACATCCACCTGGCAACAGAATTGGGGGATAAGTAAACAGGGAAGAAATTAACGATTGATCAAGACTAAATTCAGCCAACAACAGAGCTAACCAAATTATGTTGCACAAGGAAGCGAATAATTTCGCGAATACCAGAAGAAACCATATTGGAAGTATATGCGAGAAAAACTGTACAACCAGAGCGTCGTGCAACGCCAATTCCCATATCCTCGAATAGTTCTCTCGGCCCATTATCTTCACTGCTTGGCATTTGTTCCTTCCGTTTAATCTAAAATGGGGTAAAACAAGCCATTGAGAGGATGCATCCTACTTTTATTGTTTAAGTAATCTAAATGACAACTCACAACTTCATTAAGAATGTCTACAGCCCGAGCAAAATGTGTTGCTTGGAAGCCAATACTAGCGTAGGAAGTGAGTAGAGACTCATAATTGATCCCTTCGTTGAAATCAAAGCCTCTAACTGCAGTATCAACACCTTCGGGCAACGGCTGACTAGGACGTAAGACAGCGTCTTCGAAACCTGGAGGTAATCCTCGCGACTCATCGTTATCGCCAGATTTACTATCTGTCATTTCTAAAAAAAACAATAGCTTAAATTAAAGGGTCAAATAAAGCGAATGCGAAAAAATTGCAGCAAATAACTAACCATGCCCCCAGTAATCAAGTTTTTTTCAAATAGTATTTGAAGAATCTATCCTCATTAAAAAATACAGCTTAGGTTTATAATAAAGGCTAATTTAACAAAAGTCAATTGGACCACTAGAGCATAGAAATTAGTTACTAGAAAATTCAACGGCACAACAGTAAGGCTGAATAAAAATTACCAATTGGAACAAAAGAAATAAACCGTGGCAAGCGCACAAATGTCTCAAATCAAAAGATGAGGTCTCAAATCACAGCAATATATTACTTTGTACAAATACTTTTCTGCGTAGGGAGTCAGGGTTAGTTTAAAAAGAAAACTAAAGTTTCCAGTGTTCAATAGAGAGGACATCTTTATTTAATTTCAAACTGGAGGAAGTCGAGCTAGCATCAGGATCCGTAGTGAGTTGTCCGCGGTAGGGTCCTATCAAAGTAGCATCAGCTTCAAGCAAACTAATTGCCTTTGTATTCACCATAAATCGATTAGCCATTTCAGGATCACGAAGACGGATTCTCACCAGACTTCCACGAGGGTAAAAAGAATTCTCCGGCTGTGAAACAACCGCCAAAAACTTTCCTCCGAAATCAACGTAAAGATCTGAGTCATTCACATTCTCAATAACAACTCCTACTACCTATTAAATAGGAAATGAACTGAATAGAATATAAAACAAAGTAATATTTCAGCGTAATAATTGTAGGACTGACTTCTCGTTGATTGAAATTTCCAAGCTGAACGAACGTGCTATCTCGTAGGAGAGTTGCAAAGCTCTTTGGCTTTGCTGTTAACTGGGAGACGGCTTTAGACCTCGATAATCTGTACTCCTTAAGAAGGCGATTTGATGTCCAAGGAACAAAACGAGGTGCGGTGCTAAAGCGTCTCAAACCATCGTCCGTCTTTTGTTGGCCCCGGGACATTAACTCTGAGCTTGGATCAGTAGATGTTGATGAAGACCGGAATTCTTGTTTTTCGAGAGGTAATGCGGGGGTCTCTGCGATAGGTTTAACAGTTTCTCGGGATTTTTTGGCTAATTTATCTTCAACATCCAGGGCTGCTTTTTCTGCAGCTTCTTTAGCAACCTGCTCGTCGGCTTGTTTGAAAAATTCAACCAATTTATCTACATTAACAGCACCCTTATTACCATTTTCATCACCACCCGATTCAAAAGATAGAAACCTTCTCGAACGACTAGTCAAATACCGGAGAAAACTTGTAGATCTAGTTAACTGTAGCATAATCTGTTTGAAAAATTAATAAATTTTAAGAGATGCAAGGCCATTTCATGATAATTAGCATTGTTACAAATTATTTATGAAACTAACATGTAATAAATAACTTAAATAATGCATTTTAAGCTTTTCATAGAAGTTAAGTGTTACACAGATTAATATGATTTCACATATATCCTACCTGGAGAGCACGCACTTAACTTAAATAACGGGCTAGTTGCACACACTATAGGTCAGGCTAACCATCGAGTAAGTAAATATTTTTGTCATTATATTCCTTCAGCATTATACTTAAGGTTACTTTTAATTTACTAAGGTATTAAATATAATATTCTTAGTCTCCATTTACGTGTATTGACCCGCTTAATTCCACGCGACTTGTTGTCTATCCAGGTGGACAATGGTATTGAATTGTCATAATGTACTTCAATATCATAAATTGTTAGCGAAATCACATGCAGCTTAGTAATTGCTATTTTACCACAAATACTAAGTTTAAAGTACCATTATTTCTCACTAATTCGTCTCTCACATCAAGTTAAGCTTATCGCATGACTATTCTTATCGATCTTGGGTACTATGCCATAACTGCAATAAAAATGAGGCAAATCACCTTGGATGGAGCCCCTACTTTATGATATCGTCAATTTGATAAGTGCTTCGTTTCCCACATTTATGCCACCTGAATCCCATCCTCTTTGGTGATTTAGCTTTCAATTCTATTTAGTTCATTCATTCACATTCCACGTGAATCGTCATGATTATCAAAGAAACAGAGTACTCCCTTCATGTCACCATTTCGCTCCCTTCGATCCTTCAATGGAAAATACAGAAGCACGCATAAAGATATCTCACTTGTGCGTACAGCAGCTACCAATTAAAACTCGAGCTACCTCACTACTTACACTATGCCCAAACATTTTAACTTATCTCATTCCTTATTTTCTTAATCTAACTTGCCCATGCTCCCTACCCCAGGGCACGGTTTTAGTATCTTTCATCTTTCACTACCCAAAATGGGTTTTAAAACTAGGGAATAACTCAGCATTATTGTGAATGGCTTGCAGTGAAAACCAAACTTAACTAAGGAAGGTTCTATTAACATTTACTGAAGGTGTATATCAGATAACAGCTTACACCCGATGGCGTAGAGACGCAGTCACAACAGTAATGATTAGCCATTGGTTATGAAATCTAACAAGCAGACAGCGTACAAAAAGATGAAAATTGTATTGACGCAAAGTACACTGTACAAATAAGTATTTGAGGGAAGAGGGGCATAAACGATCATCTTTACCGCGTCTCAATATAACGCAACTGGCTCCTTTTCATTTTCTTTATTTTGGCTATATTTTTAATCTATATGGCGAAAAAAGAAGTCATCATAAGAGAACAACCATAAAGTGAACTTGTTGGAATATTAACTTACGGGAACGACAACCTCTGCTCGACGCTCATTTTCTTTTCGCCGTTGCTGTTTCTCTTCCGTGGCCAGGCGACGAGCCTCTTTAACACGAGCTCGTTCCTCTTTTCTATGGGCCTCCTCCTCACAACGTTTCTTTCGCTCCTCTTTCAATTCCATCTTCTTCTTCCATGATGTCTTCAGACCGGTATCTTTGCGTATTGACGAATATCTGTAATGATCGGCATACATAGTAAGCGAAAAAGTATACTGGGGCACAAAATTATGACTTTTACTGCTAAATGGAATGTTCACAGTATTAAACATAACGTCAACACCAAGATGGCTAAAAATAAAATAGCTACTTCATCCAGCTAACTTGACATCTATCCACTCAAAGCTATAAGACGGGTTGATATGAAATAGCAAGATTCGAAGGGGGTATGCTTCACGTAATTCTTTTCTGCAAATCACAAAGTGGAAGCTTCTGAAACATGATGTGGTCCTATATGTAAGGGAATATAAAATTGTTATCAAAAATCAGATAACAGGGAGTCAATAAGGAATGCACAGATGTGTACTTTAAGTTGACACAAAAACAACACATAGGTCACAAGCACAGGATATATAAAAACTTATCCATAATAAAAAGCAACACGAATGTATGCGACTCAATGCGCCGTAGTTTATGTTAGAACGATAAAATGAGAGACATATAATCAACTGTAAGCTACAGGAGTAATAGTGGTAATTAAGTAGAAAGATTATGTAAAATAATGCTCTCAATTTCTTTCAAGGGTAGAAAGCAATGAATTTCATCATCGATAGAAGCCCACAAACCATAGGAGTTTGAAACAATATTGAATAAGATCAATAAGGGGACTAATTAAACTAGGCCGGCCCGACTTTTAATGTGTAATAGCAGATTAGTACATTTAACAGATGAAAGTCAAGGACTTCAATGATAATCATATAAGAGATTTACGCTAATAAGTAGAAAAATCTGAGATAAAAGTTGTTCAATCTCGAAAGATAGTTTTGATATTAACAGTGGAAGTAATACAGGAGCAGTTACTTACCTCTTGGTGCGGGTAGTTTTCCAAACACGTCCAGATTTGGGTTTACCTCGAACCTCCTTTACTTTGGACATTTAAATACCTACAATCTACAAGTGTATCCGTTTT